CAATCCTACGTTATCCGTGACCACCGTGAAACGCTTGCCATAGATATAAGGGCGAAATTTTTCTACAGCCCACACCACCGCGAGACATTTCAGTTCGGAAGAGTGGCACCGACTCTCTCTTGTTCACTCAGCTTCCTGCTTGCATATGCGACGGGTCGTTCCCGACCATCCCTATCTCGCTGAAGAAGGACGGCACCTAACCCTTCTCCACTGGCGTCTGTGTGAAGGAACGTTGGGGCGTCCTCCACAAAATGTGCAAGCGTAGGCGGTTCAAGGAGGGATCTTTTCAAATCCTCAAAAGATGCAGCTTCGTCTTTGCCCCATTTCCACTTGGTGTCTTTTTTCAGAAGTTGGTTCAAGGGAGCAGCTTTAGCAGAAAAGTTACTGACGAAGCGACGAAAATAAGAGGAAAAACCCAGGAAACTCTTCAGTTGCTTTATGCTAGTGGGTGCGGATATGCTGGCAAAGGCTGATAGCTTCGCCGGGTCTGGCCGAATTACATCTTTGCTGACCACGTGACCAAGGTAGGTTACTTCACTGTACCCCAAAAAACATTTGGATGGGTTTAGACGTAGTCGAGCGTTCGTGAGGGCGTCTAAAACAAGACCTAGACGTTGCTGATGTTCGTCGAAACTGTCGGCATAGACGATCACATCGTCTAGATAGACTAATGCCATGGTCCATTTTAGACGGCCGAGAACCCTGTCCATGAGACGCTGGAAGGTCGCCGGCGCGTTACACAAGCCAAATGGTAAACGCCGGAACTCAAACAGTCCATCGGGTGTCACAACGGCTGATTTTTCAGCGTCGTTTGACTCGAGTTCAACTTGCCAGTATCCTGAAATGAGGTCTAATGTCGTGAAGTATTTGCAACCCTGGAGCCGATCGAGAGCATCATCAAGCCGAGGCAGGGGATACACATCGGGCTTAGTAATGCTGTTTAACTTTCTGTAGTCTATACAGAACCTTGTCGAGCCGTCCTTCTTCTTGACGAGCACGACGGGTGATGACCATGGGCTGTTGCAGTGTGCCACTACGCCTCTCCGGAGCAAATCGTCCACTTGAGCACTGATCTCCTCTCTTTCGGAGATCGACACTCGTCGGGGTTGGTGATGTATTGGCGCGTGGTCACCGGTGTTGATGGTGTGGCGAATTAAAGGCGTACATCCCAATTCTTGTTTTGTAATGGCTATACAGTGACGGAACGTTTTGAGTAAAGACTGTATGGATTCCCTCTGCGTTGCTGTTAGGTCTGGTCCAAAGTTAAATTCAGTCCACGGAATGTTGTCAACTTTGCTGAGTCTGCTCTCTGGGGTGGGTACCACAGGAGAACACGCAACGGTTGCGATCATGGTCTCTGGCAATATTTCAAAAGCTATTCCTAAACTTTCACCTCGCTTAAGGTGAATGTCATCAGTGGCCAAGTTAACTACTAGAATGTTAAGGGCACCTCGTCTCGAAGAGATAAGGGAGCGAGGTGTTGCAAATTCAGTCCCAGGCTGTGAGTGAAGAACCGCTTCGACTAAAAAATCTCCTGAACGCCGATTACCCTGAATCGACGATTGAACCCAGACTGCTGAAGACTTCGGGATCGTTACGTCTAGCGTGGAGACGACTAAGCAGGTGGAGGGATCGTGGGTGAATTTTAGAGGTAACAGAGGATAGAAAACTTTCACCCATGTTCGACAGAAAACTTCAACCAATGTTCTGGCTACCAGTTGGATGTTACCCGAAAGTATTCGGAAACGCTTAGCCAGGTGCAGCAGTAAGCAGTAGAAGTAGTAGAAAAATGTACTAGGTTGTTTAATGTACGGCTTGGGATCATCACAATGGATCGAGGGAAACGTGTCCTCCGACGTCATCTGGGACTTAGACGGCTGTGATGATGACAAAGCAGCGTGGCCACGTGCAAAGGATACTAGCAACTCCACCTCGGAACACCAGTCACACCCGAGAATGACATGTGGGTTTAAGTTTTCCACAATAAAAAAACAAAGATTTACAGTCCTGCCCAGTGCTTCGACGGTCAATTCACAACGCCCCAGGTAGGGTATGAGAGTACTGTTTGCTGACACCAGTCGAGTGTCCTTAGAGTCAGTGGCCGCTGCAGCGTGGTCCGTCGATCGCAGCAAGGCAGCATCAATGACGCTCACACCAGCCCCCGTGTCTACAATGGCATCGATTGGTTGCGTGACTCCGTGTATTTGAATTGAAAGGTGAGGTGTAAGCGACCTGCTCACCGACGCTGCGGCCAGGGGGACTTCGCGGATTACGCGGGACCCTGCACCGTCGGGCCCGCGTGGGTGTTTTCCTGACGTTGAGAGGTTGGACTCGGGCACGAGCGAGCCAGGTGTCCTGGACGTCCACAGTTGAAGCAGTGGCGCCAGTCAGGCCTACGACGCCTGTACTGCGAGTTGTCGGGTGGAGGATTCTGAATCGTCGGTCGGACGGTAGAGGTGGTGGCTCTCTTCGCCGCGTCCATTTCCAGCGCGTGACCGAGTGCAGCGCTGAGTGTGGTAGGACGAGCGAGCCGCACAGACCGCTGAATTTCGGTGTTGGGGATGGCGTCAATGAAAGCTGATGTAGTCATCAGGTGAAGCGTGGCTTCGGAGCACCCTAGAAGTGCTTTTCTTGCCAGTCTATCGATAGTGTCGGCCAGTTCTTGGAGTGACTCTGTGCCCTGGCGATAGGTTTTGAGTGACGTGAGATGTAGCTGCTGTAGATGTGCATCATTAAAACGAGCTTCTAGTGCTTGCAGAAGGAGCTCATACGTGGTTCGACTTGAATCCGGTACACTTTCAAGGAAGTCGGCGGCCTTCCCACGGAGCTGGGCGACCAGGGCTGCAGCCTTGCCATGGGAATGCCACCCATTGTGTTGGGCTACTGTTTCGAATTGGATGATAAATGCGCGCCAAGATCCAAGTCCATCAAAAGTTGGAGGTTTGAGACGCGTACCATCGGAATGTGGATGAGCAAGTCCAGCCTGGGGTCTCTCAGCTTCGTCGGGTGGGTGGCGACATACGGTCGATGTCTCTTGAACTTGTGGAAGATCACCTGAGTCTCCTGGTCGCATGGTTGGGAGAGCTTCTTCAAGGTGCTGCAGGCGGTCTTGTACAGACGTGAGGTGGTGGTGAACCTCGGTGAGGCGTTGGTTCACGTTCTGTTCAACGTGAGCGACGCGGGCGGCGAGGCGACTGTCGAACTGTTCAAGCAGAGCTGCGGCATCTGTCGCGCTCTTCTCTGCTAACCGGTTGTAGAGCTGTTCAGTAAGCTCGGCTCACGGCGTCTCCGCTGTTGCTGCGTGGGAGAGGGTATTCATGCTGTTTGGAAAACCGCTGCCACCATTTGGTACGGGTAAACCAAAAAACCGCCGTTCCAGTCTCGTTTCTTCGTCTTCCTCTACCCTTAGTCCACCTCTTCTACCTTCACCGTTACAATATATATATATATATATATATATATATATATATATATATATATATATATATATATATATATATATTTAGGGTGTCTGAAGTCCCAAGCCTGATCTAATCTGAACCACAAAAATCGACGTCTGCACGAAGCGATCTAAACTTTTCGTCAAATGTGTTTTTTATAGGTTCGTTTCTTCTTGTAAAATTACGAGGCGTAGCTCCTTTTCTGTAAAAAATATGGCCAAAAAACTCTCCAGAGTCAAGGGCGGGCGGCGACGCAGTCAACTACAGTCGAGCGGCAAGGCGCGTTCGGCACACGTATTGATAGATGGGGCTACCCCTTTATCGAGACTGCTTGCGACGACCGTGATTGACTAAAATGAACATAATCTATTTTGTAGTGTACCTTTGGTTTGAAATTAGATGCGGAAAACAAAAGCAAAACTTGAAGTTAAAATAAAAAGCGCGTTTTTATAACGAGGGCGTTCTTGCCGCCGACGGTTTTCGCCTGCGTGCCGTCTGCTTTCTTTCGCTGGTCGGCTACACCTTCCGACGCTGCTTCCGACGCCATCTATCACTACGTGCGCCAAACGCGCCCCGCCACTCGACTCGGTCACCCGCATCACGGCCCGCGCGTCGTTAACCCTGGCAAGTTTTTTGGCGCTATTTATTACAGAAAGAGACCTAGGCTAAGTAATTTTACAAGAAAAAATGGCCCCGTGAAATACACCTTTCACGATAAGTTCACATTGTTTCGTGCAGGCGTCAATTTTTACGGCCCATTTTAGATCGAGCCTGGTGACTTTAAAAACCCTATCTGTTTTTTTGTTTTTTGTTTTTTCTAGAAAAATTAAAAATGATTCAAACCGTCACTGCCAGAATTGACGAGGAATCACCCGTAACTGCAGGCTACCTCAAACCAAAACTAATCGATAAAAAAGAGACAGTGGAGTCGACGCTTTGGCCCTCGATTAGCGTCAGATAACGATGCCATCTTTGACGCCTGCAGCTCAGTCAACGCTATCTCTTTATTGTTTTTGCTGCTTGCGCTCGCACCGGTGAATCATGGCGTTTGTCGTCTGAATTACCTGATATAACAAAGGCTGTCATAAAAGAAGGCAGAAATATATTTAATGCGAAAGTTACGGCAGATCTGCCTGCGTCACAAAGGATGCCGTTATTATGACGCCAAGCGAGGGCGGAGATGGCGACTTCACTTCTTTCCTCGATTGGTTTTGATTTGAAATATCGCACAGAAGTGAAACAATTACGCCGGTGGAGCCCAATTTGTTTTTTGGGTTTAAAATATTGTGAGGTTAGAACAGACACTATGAAGATTGGGCTTCAATTTCGTAAATGCAACATGCACTTTAAAGTCGTTAATTAAAAAGTGGTTTAAAATATCTATGGTTGTCAGTAGTCTGGCTACAGCAAAAGCAACCTCGTTCCGAGTGGTCGCGAAGTCGGGTAAGCTGACTGCAAAATCAAAAGTCATTTAAAGCAACTCATTTTTTCTTTAATTTGGTGCACAAAAGTTCATAGAGTGTATTCATTAATATACCCCTTTTTTTGCTTGTGAACTAGCCGGGATTTGCTCCAAGTTGCCGCTACCTATGCACTACAAGGGGTTATGTCCAAGAACGTCCTTACGCTGATGGTACAGTTTGCTTTGTAAGTAAAACCTGCTCATTTGTTGCCGTTTGGAATGTTCCTGCTTTTCCTTGTCTTTCACTGCCATTCCTGGGAATTTTAAAATCCTCAATTTTTCTATGTATTAAAATAAACTATTAGGTACTATAACCTACACCTCATTTTTTTGTGTTAAACTTGAATTGTTTGACATTTGAACGGATATATTTTTATAAATGCTGCTGAAAATCCTTAATTTTCATCATGGATATATGCGGAGTCTATTCTGGGGATTCCTTTGGTTTCCCTTCACCCGACAACCGCATAACAACAGCGGTCGGGAACGCTCGTTCTATTGCCGCTTGTTCCTCCTCGGTCCTCTCCAGGTGTGCTTTGTCTTCCCCCGCAACCCGGAACTCATGTTTTCGGGAAGCGATAACGAGACGGTTTGGGAGGGAACGGTTTGCGTTCTTTGACGGTTTGGAAAGGGGATTTTCCCGGCCGCGGCTACGGGGTACGCATATGTTGTCGGTACCCTTTCCGGCGCTTCCCCGACCTCGGCTCCTGGGTCGTTGCGGCTGGCATGTGAAGTACTTTTCAACTGCCGGCGCGGGGGCGTATTGGGTGGGGATATAGTAGTTCGATATGAGTGTGTCTCTTAATAAACACTCATGGACTCTGCCTACACGGGTAAGCGCGACTTTTGACTTCAAGAGAAACAAAACCCGTGATCGATTTTGTTTCTCTCGGTAGTGAAACCTAAATGTCGCAAACAGTTGTTCCGTGGATGTAGGACCGCCCACCGGGATTGACGTCTTCTGCTTAAATTTGGCCGCCGCTGCCGCGATTATGCCGCTGCTGAAAATTTCTTAGGCCCCTCCTACCTTTCCCTTAGTTGGTAGCGAAGGCAGCCTCAGATAACAATCGCTTATATATTTTATTATTTTAATATTTAGAACCAGGTCATTCAGCTTTAACAGGTGTAGATCTTAGTGCTTTGTCCGAGCAAAGCAGTGTTATTTGAATAATTGACACAGACAACTTTTTACCCTCCCCTGCTTCGTAACGAAAGCAATGTCAAATTATTTCTTTGTTCGATGAACCTCCAAACATGCTACACTACGTAACATTCAGTTAAAATGAAGCAGAGAGTGCGGATTCGTTTATATAATATAAACAAAAATACTACGAAACGCACGCAAAAAACGTTTATGGAAAGATCGACTCAAAACCCGTTAACTTTCAAACACTCGCGTAATGCACGTGACTACATCAGTGCCTCAGATAATTAAAAAAAATGACCGCATCTCCACGCCGTGAATGATGTTGATTGGGGCAAAGCTCTGGTGGTGCTGATGATACTGATCTGGTTCATAGGTAGTGCTGATGGTGCTGATTTTGTTTTATTGCTCATAGGTAGTGCTGAGTTCCGGGTTGCGTTTCAACTTCATTATTACTGCTTTATGGTCGGTGAAATGCAGAGCCAGTGGTTCTTTTAGCGGATCACCTTGGATCCGCTAGAAGCCGTGGGAACGCATCTCACCCGCTTAAGTCAACGGTCCATGTCAGAAAGAGAATGTGTGGTATGGATCGTGGTTATATACGCAGTTGAGCATTTGACCGGAGCGCCCTCTCGTCTATAAACGTTGAGCCAATGCGTGCAAAGTTTAACGCGATTATACGCATTTGACAGCAGCGCCTTCTCTTGTATAGACGTTGAGCGGCTACATGCAACGTTAGAGTGAAGCGTAGTGGTTAAAACGTCTGCCTCGTAAGCAAGCGGTCCAGAGTTCAAGCCCCGTGCGGGCGTTCGTTTTTTAAAGTGGGCCAATCCCGGAGGCAGTGCAATCGATGTAAGCACGGACGCCGGACGGACAAGGCTAGACCCTAAGGAGCTTCGCCCCTAAAATCGGAAAGCGCAAAGAACAAGGACAAGAGGTAGAATAAGACGGGACAAGCGCTTTTCCTTCTTCTGGCTTGAAGAAAAAGCTGGAGGGGCCTAGCTAAAGACCGGTTATTACGCCAAGTAGTTTTGAACTTTCCTTTATTTCGATTTCAGTTCAAGTTTTGGCGTGACAGACACTGATGTGCTACAGTTCATCTCTTCGTATGAGAATCACGGTTTATGGTGCTGAACCGTGATCGCCGAGCATACTGGCATATCCGCGTCTTTTTTTTTTCTACTTTTCATTTGTTTCTAAAAACAGGTCAGCGCTTTGACTGCAGCACTGGGACCGACTTTCTATGTGTATTGCACCGTAGTAGATTTTGTCGAATTGTATTTATCTCGCAACCAACGCAAATATACCGCGTCAATTTAAGAACTGCCATGAATTTCGCCAGCGCTGCCGTTGTGAGGTCATTCATTGAAAGTAAACACTTCGGGTGCTGAAAAATCATAAAGGCAGGCGAGATAGAGCGAATTAGGTGAAAGCAGACGTTCCGGCGAGGTCAAATCTCATTCGGACCGCGTTCAGTTACCAGTGTTGCCAGATTGGGCTATATATAGCCAAATGGGGCTACACTTTTTTCTATTAGGTGTCAAAATTTTGTGGTTGGCTATGTGGCTATTTTGGGCTATTTCTAAGAATACAGCGAACTTTTGTCGAACTTCAGTTTCGACGCCGAACTTCACGATTCGGCTAGTTAATTTTCGAGCTTTCAATCAGTTTCGAAACAAAAAAATTGTTTGTCTTTTGGCTAGTCGAGAGGAGAGAGAGGAAGGGGAAAGGCTTCGAACTTCTACAAACTTCGGGGCTTTTACAACGCGCAGGGAAGCAATGCTTGTAGGGTTCAAGCGGTCTCCCTATACCGCAGTGGAGCAAACCAAACAGATTGCACTATTAGCACAGGCCCGGTACCACGTCTTCAACCCAGACGTGTATGGCTCTGCCCAGACTCGGACAGAACTTTCCAAATGCTGCTTTGGTGCCCATTGTGAAAATCCTTAGGCATCCAAGTTTGTAAAAATAAGAAGTCCGCAGTTTCACCGCTAAACAATTGACTACCTTTCAGCCGTTGCCCACCCCAAGAAAGGACAACACAATCAGAAATAGCATGAACCAGAATAAGTGACACTTATATTCTTTACAAAAAGAAAAAAAAAAGAGGCGGGTGGGATATTGGTAAGGACCTGAGATATTTGGGTTCTGGTTCGAAACTCGTAGTGTTCTGACTGTTCTGCTTTTGTATTTTGTTATTTTACTGTATCATATGTGTTTTGTACTTCTGAAAACCAACGAAGGAAGGGTCAGTGCTGCCCAAATTTTATCCTTCAAAAGCGTCTTTTTTTTTTAATTCACAAGTAGCATATTGTACACAAAGAGTGGTGCATCAGAGGGTTGAAATTGAGATTGTAATCTGTATTGTGTAAGTGTGAGAAATTTCAATACAAGGCTTAAAAATCATTGCTTTTAGACTTTGCTATTTTGGGCTATATATTTTTTACCGCTTTGGCTATATTTGGGCTATGCGGAGGGCAAGTTCGTCTGCTACTTTCGCAGGGGGGTAGCGGTGACGACAGAACGCCGAGCCCTGATTGGCTGATCGCGACCCCCCTATCTGAGCGTCGTCTGCTCCTTTGCAACGTCGTCTGCTCGCAACGTCGTCTGCGTCTGTCTTACCTTTCCTGCGACTTTCGGAAGTGCAGAGGCCAGATTCACGAAACGTTCTTACGCCAAAAATGTGCGTAAGACATAACTTAAGAAAAAATTCGTATTCACGAAACGAAATTTTCGTGAGTTTTGCGCAGGTTACGACAAAATCCTACGACAGCTCCGAAGCTGTCTTAGCACTTCTTACGATCAAATCAGCATGGCCGACAGCGTCGCGGTCGCGACGACCCACGGACGTTTATTTTTCTACGTACGCTTCTCACGCGTCCCGACTTCAAGCAGCAAGAAAAAAAGTAAAAAGTACTTGAAACAGACAACGACGAACAAGAACGCTGGATCCACAAACACCCGGGAAAAGCTCCAACGGCCAAGATTCCACCGAACGCGACCAAGCGAGCACGGCAGTTAGGCCTAGCAGGCACTCCGCGACTCGGCGACCGTCTGCCCACGACCGGCTGGTGTGCTGAATGGAATGTGCCCGCGCGACCCTTGTGAACTCTTCCCGTATTATACTTTGATCGCTGACCTCAGTTTTAGATTAAGAGGTCACTTTCTTCCTCTTGTTATCTCCTTGTTTCCCGAGGCAACGGTGACTCTCGCCGGTGAAAAAGCGGTGAATCTCCGACAGGCGCAGGAAAGGTAAAGCAGCCATCGCTTTGACTAGCAGACGTAAAGCAGACGACGTTAACTGCGCCAACCCGCCGACGCCGTTAAAGATTGAGGGGTCTCGCCGCACACGAAAGGAGGGAAAAAGTATTTGGGAGGGAACTTGCGGACACTAGCCACCCTCACTCTCGCTTCTTAGCAAACAAAAATCGGCGCCTCGGGACACCTCGCCAGTGAGTCCTTTGACTTCCCTCCTTGATGCGCGTCTGCTAGTTGTTAGACAAAAACAACGTACCGCTCGAGTTATTTCGTCTGCCCTCTCTGAAAGGCGAAGTCGAGCTCGCTCGTAAAGACCTCCACTTCCGAAAGTCGCACGAAAGGTAAGACAGACGCAGACGATGTTGCGAGCAGACGACGTTGCGGAGCAGACGACGCTGAGATAGGTGGTCGCGATCAGCCAATCAGGGCTCGGCGTTCTGACGTCACCGCTACTTCCTTTCTCATGCGCAGAAGACGAAAATGAGCCCACTTGCGAGGCGTATACCTTTTAGTCGTTTGGCGGTTTTTTGGTGGGACCATCTGGCAACACTGTCAGTTACAGCTAACCCTAGGTGGCGCTGTGGCGCACCACAGCTTAGGGCGAGTATGGCGAAAGTTCGCGCTGCAGAACACAGGTGTGCCGGGCTCAATTCCCACCGCTGCTCGCTTACGCCGGTGAGCTCGCTAATTAACCGGTATACGGAAGCAATGGAGAGTCCCATTTCCCTCTGTCTTCCCGTGTGTACACGTTGCACGACTGTAGCTTTTTTGTCGACAAACTTCGCGAAGATCCTATGGGGTGTACAAAAAGGCGAGCTCACAGAAGATACCGGAGATACACCATACCGACAATGCACACGACGAGGAAGACGCTTTGTTTGTTTTGCAGGGAACTATAAAACAAACAAACAAACAAACGAACTTAAATCAAAAAGAATCTGAAGTAGCTAAAAAAGAAATTATCTAAGTTTAGCATGTCCTGAATAATATAGAGACATTGTAAAATCGAAGTTAAAAAATAATGTTTTTACTTAGTGTAATTTAGTTAATCATTTTTGGTCAAGCTTGAGCTCCGCAGTGGAACGGCGTGCTACGGCTTTGTAGCCTTGGCTGCATTGCCAGAAAAAGTTGACCGCAAGTATGGTAGGAGATTTTTGGCACAATTTTATCACACGATTCTCACTACTTTTCTTTGAGATTTATTGACAGGAGATAGTTGCTCGAATAAAAGATTAGTAAGATATGCTGACATAAAGAGGGTAGTTCGTGGTCTGAAGAGTTCGAACCCTCATTTTATTCAGCATAGGAAACGTTTTTGTTATAGTGGTGAATTTTTCATGATGACTTTGTGTGGGTACTGATGCATATATATATAGGAATCTATGGTTTTGTGTAAGTTATACCGCACATCAGGAAGGCAAGGCCACTAGCTCGTTTAATGGTGACTGTATTGTATTTACGATAAAGTGGAGATGAGACATTATTTTATATTGACTTGATTTACAAATAATGCCAAACAACATGCCCTCATAGCCCCATAGCATTAAACATACCTTCTCATCAAACTAAGTAGCCTAGCTATGCGTATAACCGAAGTACAGTGACGATTGTATGTTGACTTTTCTATCATGCGACTACATGATTATGCCGTCTGCTGGGTAAAATATTCGGCAATCCTTAATCGTATTAAATAAAAGATTTCAGAAACCTAATGCTACGTCTCAGTTAATTGCAATGTAGGCTCCCGAGTAGCGAACAGAGCATGCTTGACGACATGACGACCGTTCAGAGCGCTCGCGAACGCATTGCCAGAATCCGGAGCAAAAGGAGTAAATTATTATTTTCCTCGTTTCTCGTCGTATTATGAAAAATATTACCTTCGAAAAGAATCCCGTTTGGAACGAACAGAGTTTCATTGTCGATAAAACAGTTCTCATGTTTTTGGTGCATTTTCCAGGTTACGTTTTTTCCTACCCACCACCATAAAATTGGTACTTTACAACTGTTTTTTTTTTTTCACACCTTAAACTACTGCCATTAAGTGTGGGAGATATTAGTATATATAAAATAATACACTTTTTCTAATTCAGGAAAAAGCTGTGTGCGCTATTCACAGCTCGAAATGACGTACTCTCAAAAAATAAAACTTTGAAAGCTTTGGAATCTATGCTTTTCAATTTTTATATACGAGCATACTGCTTAAGCGATATTGCAAAGAAAAATAAACCAAAACAGTCAGTTATCAGTCAGTGTTTGTTTTGTCCAGTTTTTCTCTTTGTCCATATCGAGTATTAACTTCTCAATATGACGACTACTACAACCATATTTAATAACTACCGATGGAGCGATCTAAAACAAACGTAGTCGAGAAAGCGTGCGAGATTCTACCAAGAAATGGCTCAGTGGAACTGCAGTGTTCACTGTTTTCTCGTGTCTACGTGTTAGTTCAGCAGTCGATTCCCTAAAATAATATATCTCGTGCTTCTTAACCCTTCCGTATGATTACCACCTCGCCATGTCCTTGTATGACGACGGGTGGGATGTTCCCTGACAAAAACAGTATATGCTTCTAATGGGAACCTCGGCTACTAAAGCAGTGTGGGCAATGAAGAAAACTGATCCCACAAAAATTTCCGGATTGCCTACGTGGATTGGGAGTCTGTTTAAGACAGATAATTTAGCAAAAGCAGAAGATAATACGACGCTCTATATTCAGGTGACGTACAGCAATGACGAGCAGGCAGTTCGCTACCTTGGATACTGCCAACATGGGACATGCCTACCAGCAAACTTAGGTAACATCAAGTTCAACTGAACCATTTTCTCTTAATCACGAGATGTTCCTGGATTATGGTTATTTTACGTGGTGGAATTCTTTTATTATTAAAAGTTAAACGTCTACAGGTCAAGTCACAACAAAGCAAGTAGGGATATTCCAGCAAATCTCATATATACGTAAATGCACAAGAGAGTCTTTCCAGACGGAAGTCTCGGCCGTGTTTGGAAAATGTATGTTTTATTTAAAATATTTAACCTACACAGTTAGACCTTTCTACATTGTTTCATTACAAAAAGAGAGAATTAATGCATGATTCTTAGAAATAATTCAGCCTAATAAGAACTGTAGAGGCATAGATCTCTCAAATACTTTGTGTGGTATGTCCATTAAAAGACAATAAAAAAATTACCTTATATTTCGATAAGTTTGACTGTGTAAACAGTTCTTCATTACTTGCGTTAGCGTTGCCCAAAAGAACAAATTAATTAATTCTCCGCCTTTAGACTGCATCTACTCAGGGCACTGAAACATATAATTACTCACTGTGCACTTCATTTCTTTTTATTTTGTAACATAAATCTAAACAAAATTGCATTCGGAGATCAAAACTTCCAATGCTGGTTCACATGCACAACAGATATTCTCTCGTAGGTATGATTATGTGAAGGCGCTTTTGAGCGTATAATCTAAATATGCGAAGCACGTCTGTCATTTTTTTTTCCTCGCGCTTTACCCTTAAAAGGCAGTGTAGCCTATATAATGTAAACAATGGTATGCGCCAAAAGAGCGAACTTAATTTAATGCATTTTACTATTTTTTGTAACATCGGTGTTACGTTTGATATCTTTAAATAATCATGCAAGCATGATCATCTGTTGATGTGATGCTGGTACAATATTTCGGGTAACTATTTGATGTTAGTTACTGAAGTTTGTCATGAATCTTTTAATTGAGGATTATATAAAATTCTTATATTATAATTCTCACGCAACGAACAAAATGTGCGAAGAACAGCAAAACCTTGATGCAGTTAAATATATTTTGGTAGATCGCTCATTATCAGTACGTTTCGTAGTTGAACGTTCGCCACCCGTCAAATCCAGTCTACGTAACGCAAATTATTATATTGCCGGCATGCTTAGATCAATCATATCATGCACAGGTGTGTCTCCGCGCAAAAAAAGGGTAAGCAGATTTTTTAATGGGGTTTACTTATATTAATAAAACGTGTGTAAAACATACAATGTAAAGACAGTGGCATGTTTTCAAACCACAATTTAGCAGCGATATATGATGAAGACGAGTTCTCACACACGGTGTTTGGCTTGCTTTCGCACACAGCGAAGAAGGCTATCGGTGAAACTGAGCTTTGAACGTCGAAGAGAGAATATGAAAGCAAATGCTATATACAACGAATCAGCTGGAATGTTTTTAAATGGGTTCTTACTTTAACCAAGATGGTCCGGCAAAGTACAATTTTTATCGGTCTTTAAATCTTTAGACAAAATAACAGCTACATTCTAGATTTATTTGATGATGTGTGGTATTGCAGTACCCTAAACAAAATTGTAGAAATAGCGAGATAAAGTACCTGAAGAAAAATAAATAACATATGCCTGTACTTGGCAGTGGCTGAAAGCAGAACCGCGGAACAGTGAAATGAATATTTTAACAGTTCTGGAGCACATGTGCAGAAAATAGTGAAGAAACGGATGCACGAAGAGATAGTTTCATGTAAAAACGGAAATAAAACAAGTCAGACATACATTGTCTGTGCAAGTAAAAAATTTCTCGGCCGATTACGCGTCGTGAGGCGAATGAACAGCGAGAGCTGGTGCCACATTTCGATGAAATTGTGTCGTGATCGACTAGAAATGCGGGTGATGCAGCGTCGCGCGGTATCGTGTAAACCCCAACCGATTACACACGGAACAGTCAGCACCAAACACGTTCTAGCGAACGAGTTGCAAAACTTCCTTGGCCGCACCAGCGTGTCCATTCTTCGCTCGGTAGCGTCCTCTTTTACATGCCACTTCACGTGCACGCACAGTATGGTCTTGACGTAAAATTTGTTCCATTTTAACACCCAGAGAGAGGCCGTCGCAGCCTACACGTCGGCGATGTTCTCTCTCACGGGTGCGATTAATTACGCCGTCGAGCTGCCACCGCTTACTCCGGCGTATGCTTCGGCCGCCCCATTCTTGCTCGCAAAGGCTTACAGCGCCGAGGGAATGAGCGACCGAAGGCGAGAAAAAGCAGGTGGAGAAAAGCGTGACCACGTGACCTCCCGCGCACTCACGATTTGGCCGAACGCGCAGTTACGCATCAACCGCGACTATTGTCACAGAATAGGCCAAGGGCACCAGTGCTGTACTCGCCCCCTTCCGGCGTAAAACGCTCGCATGCTCCGTTTGTTTCGGGTGACATGGCACTCACCGAGTACAAGCCCAGCACAGCTGACGCTGTAAAATATTTTGTGACGCCCATCTTGATAATCTCCGAACCAGACCACCGCTCTAGGTTCTTTCCACGTATTACATCCTCGAAGGTAAAGCCTGTATATACACTGAAAAGAAGGCAACATATTGTGCTTATCTGTCTTATTTGCCCAACCCCTCACGCTTAAATATATAAATATTCCTTCCAGGCAAGCGACAGGATTTTAGAGCTCGCCGAGAGATGTTCAAAGTTGTTTTAAATTCATAACATATTTAACAGGTACCCACTTAAGCTGCACCTTTTAGATTTTTCTTTCGTAGAGAATTTACTCCAGACAGTGGCCACTTCTACCATTAAAACCGCGGCAAATATTTTTGAAGTTACTCAGGAAATGAGTTTTGAGTAGTTACTCCAAAACGAAATAAATTTATTATACCTTTTATAAGAAGAACAGCTTCTCAGTAAGCAAATTATAAATATTTGAAACATTATTCCAAGTGTATGCCTTATAGTTTTGTGACAGGACTGCTCGTCATGCCCGGCAAGCGATGCTTTGCACAAAGTTAGATTATTAGGTGAATGACAGCCCGTAGACCTGACTTATCGTTTCCGGGCTATCCTCAACTTTTGTATGCACTTCATACATAACCTAGAGTACATCACTGATTCATAATTCCCTCTTGTCGGTACGGCAAGCTTCACTTCAATTATTTCAGTTCGCTTCTACTAATATCGTTTATGCAGGGTGTCTTAGAAAGTTTGCGCTCAAGGTTAAATAAGGGGCATACAACTTTCTGCATTACACTGACAGAAACATCGTTCTTACTAACAAAACGCCAAGTTTCTTTCAACGTATTTCGTTCAATGCTAACATTTATTGTTTGTGGACTTTCGAGTGAATGCTCTTGCCATCCCCAAATATTGTAGAGGTGAAGACTGACTTGATCATATTACATTTAAAGTGGATACTTTCAGAACCTAGCGGGAAGCTGCCCCACCAGTGGGATGGAATATATCATGTGTGTGATGATAAGCAAAGTGTTTATGTAAGTGTAAAAGCAATTATGCATTTTTTAGAAGTTGGAAAAATGTACTCGTTATACTCAGTGTCGCTTGGGATGAATATTGTTGTGTGTAATTTACATCTGTAGGTGAAAACACAAAATCTGTTTAAATAGTCTAGAACACGAAAGAATGTAAATAAAACTGAGTTTTTTTTTACATCAAACGTTACTTTTTGAAGCGTCATTTGCCACTAAACAAAAACGTTTTTTCATCGTATTGTGACAGCATAAAAGTTAACAAAGCTAGGGATGCTACAGAACTCTTTCTTATCTTATGCTGGCAACAGGTCTTCGTGTGTGCGTTGATAAAATAATCAGACCAAGTAAAACTGAGACGGATGCTTTGAATATGTGATATATAAATGTTTAAAAAAGGATAATGTACCAAGCTCATTCCATAATGACAATGAAGCGTGCGGTAGTTGCAATTTTTAAATATTTTTATGTGCAACTTTCAATATATATATATATTTGTTTAAACTTATTTCTTTTTGCATGCAATAGCCGCAGAGAGATAGAAACCCGAGCTAGACATTCCAAGAATTTTCCTATTACTACAGCCAGCTTTTGCCAGCTGATTGTTATAAATTAAACTTGTTTTATATACAATGCCTGCTTGGTCTAATGTTCATTCGATTGCCATGGTTTCGACAAGAAGCATCACTTTAGTTATCTAATCAATCAGGATATTTTATTATATCACTAATATGTCTGTAGCTCACCGAATATGCTTTACGAATGATACGGCGTGCAAGTTTTTACGTTTTTAACGTCTTAGAAAGCAGCCTAAGCTTCTAGGCTTTATCTCGTAATTAATAAAATTTTAAAAATATATGTATAAAAATGTAGAAACATTCATATGGGCATGAACATTATATGCACTAAATGATAAATAAAAGTTATCAAACTATACTGTTAAAACATTCAAATTGTGTTTTATTTCGAGCAGCCTGTTAGAAACTGCACATACATCTGTGAGGAGCAAGATAAACCTTACTTGCCAAGAAAGTATTATTACGGCATTTATACTGATACAAAATGCATGGTGAGTTTGAATGATATATTTATTAATAAAACATTTCATGCCTCAGAAGTGATAAAGACATGTTCATAACTAAATGCATTCAGTATAATATACCGGTTCATTCATTATTTATTAAGCGTTGTGCAATAAGCGCGTTTTTATTTATTTAAAACACATAAAGTTAACTTGCCGAGAGTAGCCAAACATCACGCCGTTTATGGGGTATCAAAACACTGATTTTAGATAAACTAGCAAGTCGCCATGTTTTTATATTCCCCACAGCACTGCCCGATCACATCTATAGATAGTCCGATACTGCACATATAAGTGAAGTTAGTGTACAAATAAAAAAAAAAAGCATAAATCTGAAACTTTTGTTGAAGTCCTTCAATGTGTGTGGGGTATTTAAAATTCGTGAATTCTTGTTGTTGTTGATTAGTTTCAGAATTCAAAAAGGAAGATAGCAAAAATTTTCTATCATTCAGCCTTAATCTTCCAAACCGTTCAAGACAAATTGATTTTTACTTTACTGGCATCCGTAAAGCACCAGCTAGCTTCAACTAAATGCTTCCGACTTACACATTTCCGTCAAGAGTCTAGAACGATATTTCAATGCATATTTATTATAATATAGACCCGTCCGTGTCTGAGTTGGCACCGTATGCTGCTTTCACACGGGGACACCGGGTGAAACCCCGCCTGCTTAGCATTTCCTTTTGTCGTTTGTCGCCCTTCTGAGGATGCTTATTTCATTTCACATCGTTTCCTTGCGTTCTGCCCTAGATACTTATCGAACAACAGGCGTTCTTAAGGGAAGTTAAAGCGCACTTTATTCGGTCATTCTCTCTTGCGTTTTCGACACAGAATGTACGGTTCCGCCATGTTCTTGTTACAGGAATAGAGCCGGCTCATTAAATATTTACCTTCAGTTTAACATTCGTCTACTGTTTTATTGGTAACAATAATTTATTTATTTATTTCGGAATATTTTAGAGGCACTCTAAATGAGGGAAACATAAACACAAAACGTATTGCATTATCTATCAGAGTGCATGAAATAGCAGAAACTAAAAAAATATCCGGAAAAATCTTAAACTGCAGAAAACACTTCTGGCAAAATTGAACTGGACTAATGAATGGCAAATGACACTCAATAATGATGAAAAAGAAATAATCTCAATTTCATGTAAAAAAAAACGACTAATTTAAATTATACACTGGACGGGCAACATGTAAAACGAGTTGAGCAATACAAGTTAGGCCTTCTCTTCAATCGTAAACTAAACTGAAATCAACATCTAGAAACTACGATAACTTAGGCAAGGATCACATATTGTTGCGTTAACAAGAAAATTAGAATTTGCGGATTAGGGCACTAAGCTTTTCGTATACGAGGTATTTTACACCTATAATGGAATATGTAAACTCAGTGTGGCGCACTTTCACTAAAGATGATTTTAATAAACTAGAAACTCTCCAAACTCATGCTTCGCGGTTTATTTTTATTAGCTACAGAGCTAGGCTGCAGATCATGGAAATGAGAGCAAAAATTACTAGATTAAACATTGTTTACAATATCCCCAATGGCTGTCTCCGAATAGAAAGTTTCAACCATTTAAAGTTCTCATCGACAGGATCCTCCCGAACCTACCCTTTCAGGGCAATGACAAAGCACAGGCTAAAAAAATGCTTTTGATATTCTTTTTTGCTCCAGGCGATTCAGGATTAGAATGATTTTTAAAACAATATTATTACTTGACCACCTTTTGATCAGTTCGTTACGCTGTTGATAAGCATTTTTATAGATTTTCCTTGGGGTTGACTAGCGTTTTCTTACATTTTTGTTGAACCCATTCCTACTATAACTCCCTGAGGGGAGCCAGTCGTATTCTAAATAAAAATAAAATGGCACATTAGGTTCAGAATACCAGGACACTATATGTATAAGTCCATATAACATATGTTCAAAGCAATCTGAAAAAAACACACAGAAAGGAGTGTTACCCCTCGTGCAGCAGGCGCAAAGCCAGCATTGACGGAACGCGACTGATTAGATCGTTACTGCGTTCCGCCACTGCTAGCTTTGCGCCTGCTTCACGAGAGGTAACTTGGGCACGCCCCCGAGTTTCCCCCGAGCTTCAAGTCGTTCTAAAAAGAGATGATTTAGTGGTTTTCGATAACGCTCAGTAAGTTTCTAATTGGAATCATAAGTTTATTTGCCCTAATTAAAATGTTAATTAAAGAGCTGAGTTAATTACTCACCAAACTGTGGCGGTTGGTCGCCCCTCGAGTATCCGCCGAGCTCAAGAAATATATAGCGAAAAGGGCATTCACGTAGCAGTAAATACGCTTTAAAAAAAATCTGTTTCGAGTAAAAAATATTACTTATATCAAATATAAGTCAGCCTGCAGAATTTGATGCCTGGTGTTCCGAAATAAAAATACCAGTTTCCGATTTTTTTTTCTATTGGCCTTCTAATTTGCGTAAAAAATAGCAAGCCTTTGCTATTCTAGTTATCTAATTAGTGATATTAATGTAGCGTCTTATTCTTAAGGCTGATTCACACACTCCGGTCGGGTTACTACTGAGTGCGTTAGAGCCTGTTGTGATGTCTCACCGCTGGACAACAAACTCGCACCATCTATAGAGTAACTGCTAAAAACATCCGATTCCGATATTTTTTACGCTCCGTTTTTCTTTTTGTTTGTTTGAAAGACGTTTGAGATTTTAATAAACGACTATTCCACATAAATAGTACGTACACTTAATCTCTCAAATATTAAAAACAAAACCTTAGCTCTATTGAAATGCAGTTCCTGGGCCAACATGTATCTGACGCCAGCGTTTTAGTGTGTTCTCTCGTCGTAAGATCATAAGAATTCGGTCGTAAACAAAGACAGGTGTGTGAACGAGGCTTTGCGTTAAAAGTTACTTAAATTTATATACGTGCAATTTGGTATATGCCATTAAAGGGGGGGGGGGGGTGCAACGATTTGCGGACTTCGGTCAAAGATTTGTGGAAGTTGCCCTCTGACACTTCTGAAGTAAAGAACAGAAAACCGATTTCACCTGCGTGTCCTAGTTGTTGTGTAAAAAAAAAGATAACTATTGTCATTTCGGGCACCCAACTCACTCCCAGCCTTCAGGGTCACACCTGATCCCCTTCCTAGTGACGTCGTTCGGGGCGCCGTGTAGCTTCCCGTGTGCTATCTCGGAGGACGCTTCCTCTCCCTCACTCTGCTGACATTAGCGGGCGTTATGCTGCAGCTTAGAGCCGAGCGAGGTCGCGTAATCCTTTCGCCGTAGTTCCTTCGGCTGCCACTTTGGGCTGCAGGTGGTTCGACTTTTGCTTTGCGATTATGCAGCGCAATCGCGACATTTTTAATGAAGCAGGTGTTTTCTCTATCCACCGGGACACGATAAACAACGTACAAATGACGAGATGCAAATTGTTTTAATCATAAAATTGTTGCATTGTTGCATAAAGAAAAAGGCTCACATAAAGGTGTTTTTGTTTTTCCAGCTTCAAGACGGTAAGGTCGGCCTCTGCAGAAGTGGGCTTTGTTATGGCATGGAATACTTCCAAACGGCCGTCAAACCTCAGGAGCCCGTCGCACCTGAGGAGCCCGCTACAACTCAGAGGCCCGATATACCTCAGGGGACCGTCAAACCTCAGAGTCCTGTCATAACTCAAGGACCCTGCGTAGCGCAGAAGACTCAGACGCCACAGACACCTCACACACCTCAGATGCCTCAGATACCTCAGAAGCCCGTCGCACCTGAGGAGCCCGCTACTCCTCAGAGGCCCGATATACCTCAGGGGACCGTCAAACCTCAGAGTCCTGTCATTACTCAAGGACCCTGCGTAGCGCAGAAGACTCAGACGCCACAGACACCTCACACGCCTCAGATGCCTCAGATACCTCAGAAGCCCGTCGCACCTGAGGAGCCCGCTACTCCTCAGAGGCCCGATATACCTCAGGGGACCGTCAAACCTCAGAGTCCTGTCATTACTCAAGGACCCTGCGTAGCGCAGAAGACTCAGACGCCACAGACACCTCACACACCTCAGATGCCTCAGATACCTCAGAAGCCCGTCGCACCTGAGGAGCCCGCTACTCCTCAGAGGCCCGATATACCTCAGGGGACCGTCAAACCTCAGAGTCCTGTCATAACTCAAGGACCCTGCGTAGCGCAGAAGACTCAGACGCCACAGACACCTCACACACCTCAGATGCCTCAGATGCCTCAGATACCTCAGATACCTCAGAACCCCGTCGCACCTGAGGAGCCCGCTACTACTCAGAGGCCCGATATACCTCAGGGGACCGTCAAACCTCAGAGTCCTGTCATAACTCAAGGACCCTGCGTAGCGCAGAAGACTCAGACGCCACAGACCCCTCACACACCTCAGATACCTCAGATGCCTCAGATACCTCAGAAGCCCGTCGCACCTGAGGAGCCCGCTACACCTCAGAGGCCCGATATACCTCAGGGGACCGTCAAACCTCAGAGTCCTGTCATAACTCAAGGACCCTGCGTAGCGCAGAAGACTCAGACGCCACAGACCCCTCACACACCTCAGATACCTCAGATGCCTCAGATGCCTCAGATACCTCAGAAGCCCGTCGCACCTGAGAAGCCCACTACAACTCAGAGGCCCGATATACCTCAGGGGACCGTCAAACCTGAGTGTCCTTTCATAACTCAGAGACCCTACATAGCGTAGAAGACTCAGACGCCACAGACACCTCAGGCACCTCAGATACCTCAGATACCTTAGATACCTCAGATACCTCAGATGCCTCAGATGCCTCAGATGCCTCAGATACCTCACAAGCCCGTCGCACCTGAGAAGCCCACTACAACTCAGAGGCCCGATATACCTCAGGGGACCGTCAAACCTCAGAGTCCTGTCATACCTCAGAGCCCCTACGTAGTGCTGAAGCTTCAGATGCCACAGACACCTCAGACACCTCAGATGCCTCAGATACCTCAGATGCTCAGATGCCTCAGATACCTCAGATGCCTCAGATGCCTCAGATGCCTCAGATACCTCGGATGCCCATTTTACCTCATATGCCCGTCAACCCTCAAGTCTCCTCCATAAAAAATGGCCCTCGGCAAAATGTCATACACTAAAGTATACTTGTTGCGTGCTTAGTGCACAACCTAAAACACGTTTTCACACTTTTATGAAGCAAATAAATACACTAGCAATATTGTCATAGTTTTCTAGAAGCATATAATTAGGATACGTTTTGTACACCACATACACGTATTTAGTATGCAGTATACTAAAAGAACACTTCTGGTAAATTTAATGTATGCTAAGAGGTACACTTTAGGTGTACTTGACGTGCTATACAAGAAAATCTATTCGTTCGTAAATCTCCGCCTTAAAGGGATTGTCCGGTCAATTTCGCTCTTTAAGGAAATAATTAAATGTTTGAATTGACCGATCTCACCAAGCGTTCGCCGCATGCGTGACGCCGCCATAACTTTAGCTCGCAGGCGGCAGGCAGCAGTGCACAAGACGGCTCGTGCCACCTCGTGCTCCGCACGCGCAGAGCTCCAGCGAGGTTGTCGCACGTGCAGAAAGACTAAAGCTTCCTCGATGCATTGCGGCACCGGTGGCGTAGTCAAACTGGCCAGTGAGATCGGTCTATTCTGTTTAGGAACACCGTCTGCGCAATATCAAAATTTTTCATCCTTCTCCACGCGAGAAATTAGATTTTAAACTCTTCCCAAAACGCGTCCTCAAAAAACGGCAATTTTATTGGCAACATTGGCAACCACGGACGCTCTGACGCAACGTTACTGGAACCACTCAGTTGGGAATCTGCCGTAGAGAGTGCTCTGAAAAAGTGGCACCGATCCGTACTCGAGAACCGAGCTAATGACGATCACAACGCCGCCACTTCTCCCGCAGCGGCCACCCAGGGAACTGCACGTGACCTCTATTTTGGCTTTAATCGGCCATTTTGGCGCCGAAACAGATACGGTGGAGGAGATTTCAGGGGCGCACCCCAGTTTCCCAAGCGGACGCGCCGCGGATTACTACCGAAGTTAAATGCTCCTAGGTCGGGACGCGCTACTTGAAATCACCGCTGAGGCATGGTTGTATAAAAACAATAGGTAGTATTCATTGGACGCCATATTTGTGGGTGCTGTTTAGAGCGCATGCTCAGAACGAGCTCACATCAATAGGCTGCTAAGACCGGCACTCTTGATGGTGCGGAATGCATGCTGCAAAAGAACTGTGGAAGCTCGCATCAGCACGCGCTCAGCATTCGCGCACACAGCTATGGCCGCCAGTGAATACTCCCTATAGTAAATGTGCCGCAAAACCTTGCAAACTAAAGACTAGAGAACATCACAAGCCCTTCATTTTGTACTAAACTGCAATAAAAATTACTACAAAGAGTTTTTTTCACTGGTTTTTACGCAAAAACATGCTTTCTAAAAGCTCAAGGTGACCACAGTAAAGACAAATGATAAAGAGTGGCGCTGTTGTCGCATTTAGCTCGGTCTCGGTGGCCGCCAGCGGCCCAGGTTTCAACGGTGAGTTTCCCAACTGAGTGTTTTACTAACGTTGCAATGACGTAACATCAGGCAAAGAGCCGCGTTGGGGTGCCTCCCGACTGCTGCACTATAACTTCTTGTTTTTTTATTCGTGTACCCCTGTTGTTTTATCAGACTACATCTTCGTGGATTTTAGGGGACTTTTGTTGTGCGGTTGGTTGAAACAACCGTCGGACTGCACACAAATGATGTCCTGTCACCGTGTGAAATAGAATCGAGCTGCCAGCGTGCGAATGTGGCCGCGACCTGACAGGTTCCAGGTTGGCTTTGGTTTAGCTCTCATAAATATATTTTGAAAATACAACTGTTTTTCTAGCTTCAACTTTTCATGACCTTGCAAGACATTTAAATACTCTAAATGTCTAAATTCACGATGGAGCTCACCTTTAATGCTAATCGTATGCAAAATGGTTTCGGTTTCGGTTGCGCCGCATAGACAATTTGTTGTGCGTTTAACTGCTACCCTGCGCTCAATTCCCCGTGATCAAGCAATACATTACCTTCAAATGTTTACGTTGACAGTAGAGCATCGTTTTTAATCCTCTGCCTCCCACAGTAATGATTCTAATCGATGTTATTGATCTCGTGGACTCCAGCTTTGTCCTCAACACTAATTTATATGACGTGCAAGTGCGTCTGCTAGTAAGCATGTGGCGAACGAAATATATTTCGCGCATCTCGTGCGTTTATTTATCCGCCAATGTGCTCGACGGGTCATGGCCTCTGCCTGGCTTGCATATTTTTCGGCAATTTATATTGTTCTTTGATTAGTGTGCCCCTTCTTTATATTTCTTACTTTTTTGAAAGCGTGCTGATATTCCTATAACAACCAGGTGTTTATGTCTGGTGATTCAAGGAGTGGCCAGGCTCTTTAAATCGACCGCAAAACTCTGTTTTTTAACCTATTGCGTTCCGATTTTGTATAGCGTTGGCCACAGGTGGTGCATTTTTTCTATAAAATTCGCAAAGAGCGAGCTTACCTGAGGAAAAAGTAAAAAAAAAAAAAAAAAAAAGGCTTAACTTCTATGGAAACGGAGCGAAGCCACCGGTATTCAAACCATAGGGCGCCCAATGATTTGAAGACCGATGGCTTCGCTGCGTTTCCCATAGGAGTTAAGCCTTCTTCTTTTTTTTTTTACTTTTTCCTCGGGTAAGCTCGCTGTTTGCGAATTTTATAGAAAAAAATGCACCACCTGTGGCCAACGCTGTACAAAATCGAAACGCGATAGGTTAAGAAACCGAATTTTGCGGTCGATTTAAAGAGCCTGGCCGCTCCTTGACATCACCCAGTAGTTATCCCACATTTCAGACGCCTTGGGAACCATAAGCGGGGAGCCTCATATTTGTCGTTTCGACATTTATGTTTTTTGATACAACTCGTCAGGGCTGGAGCATTACACATTAAAGCAAAAACAGTTTATGATCATCATCCTGTCTAACATTATAACTAAAAATTGATGTCCTTCAACCACATGAATACGTACAGACAAAGTTTATTTTAGAACTGGCTCGTTGAACGATTAAGCAACCACCAAGTTTCAAAGAAAACTATTTTTCATGTTTCAAAGGGCAGTAAGTGATCAAAGTGCTCTCCGGATCGAGGCCTGGAGATCACTTCCCATTCTAACGTTTTGAAGGTATCAGTTCGTCAGAAAAGTAAAAGTGTTAATCTGTGAACATTCACCAAAGCCTAGAAGCCAAGAACCCACCCTCCTCAATCCCGAGTCGATTGGCGACATTCCCGTGTAAATGGTGCAGTGGGTTGGTGCGGCGGTGGACGTCACGCAAGTGCCGCATGACTAACGTTCACTTTACAAAAATGAGGTTCCCCTGGAGGTTACCGGTTACAAAACTTTGTTTCAGAGATAAAGAATAATAAAAAGTGGGTACGTGCACGTCCGGAGACCACATTTCCCACGGCATGTAATCGATAGAATTACGGATTATCTTAACTATTTATGGCAGTGCTTGGTTGCAGATACCGTCAGAAACATAGAGAGCCTCGGCAACCCTTTTCGCAATGGTGGGGTAACTCTTTGCCAAGAATGATATGCCAATCCGAGGAACGCACGGATACTGTCTCCAAGCTCGCGGCCGTGTTGGAACGACATCTCGATAAAAGTCGCGCTTTCTTTCTTTTCGTTGCTTTGACAAGAAGCGCGATTGAACTGAGAACAACCTAAAATAGAGTGTAAGGAGAAACAAAATACAAAACGCTCATCGAAGAAGATATTCCTACGCCGCCTACACGAAGTGCTCGCATAGCCTGGTGTTACGCCACGCGTAACGACAGGATGTCGGCCATTGACTCTGGCTAAATTTGGAGTGTAGTTTCGTACACACGCTCATGACTAGTTTAATTAATATCCGGACGTTATATATCAAGATAAAATGACGTTTGTCTATTTAAAGGCTCCCTAGACCTAATGAGCTCAAAAAATTTATGAACTTCCGGTTTAGACCGGATAATCTCGTTAAGGACTTCCGCTAAAACGCATATCAAACCATTACCGACGTATCTCCCCCCCCCCCCCCCCCCCCCCCGCGGTTTCTATGGTCATGACTGTTGGCAACTGTTAATAACCGTTTGCTCTGCTCATTGCCAGTTCCTGGTTATGTCGGTCGGTAAAGCGCTCTCCTATTGCTGAAAAGGTCCAAGGTGGGAATCTCGGACCAGATAGAGTTCTTCAGCGGTCACCAGTCGCCTAGAGGGCACGAACTTTAATTCATTCCAGGCGCAAGCCAATTTCTTTTGTAAATTTTTTAGACCCTTGGGGACTTTCCTATCAAACTCATAACATCTAACAGTGTTCTTAAGTTACACTCTTCATGCCATTCATGGCTCGCGTTTCGACGAGCCGCTCGCACTCCGGCGAGCAGTGAAACTCCAAGGCGCGATACACGAAATAGAAGCGGTACCCGTTCATCTCACCTCTGAGTAAGGACGCGTCTTGATTGTCCGCCATATGTAAAATGTTCATACATCAGCAGCCCTGTGCGCCTCCTCACAGACTAGCACGTATGCATTCGCTTAAAAAAACGAGAAAAGCGCACGACATGTAAAATAACGCTGGAAATTGAACTGGCAAGAAGACCTTTACTTCTTTTGCACCTGCAAAGGAGCTAGCGATGATACACACGAAGACAACTTTCTGTCGTTACACTGCCCAAGTGCACCTGCACTCCTTTTTATATTTGTGCACACCGCTAAGAAAACTGATGGTACATGTATGTGTCTTGATTTAGCGCGTAATTGCAAGCGATCGCGCCAGTAATCTTGACAGCGCCGTACAACAAATGTGAAATGGAGAATTGTTCACTGTTCTTTGAGCACGGATGACAGCTATGCACGCGCGCATTTCACTTCTAAAGTGCCGAAGCGTCCATAACTTGAACTGCATACGACTCGCGAATGGCACTGTATGGCACTCGTGCAACAAGTTTCCAGAAAAGGAAAAAAAATAAACGTAAAATCATCGATGTGAGCGGCTTGCGGTTGCAGCCGTTCCAGCTAGTCCATGATAAGGCGAGAAGCAGTGGAACAGCTCAACGATGAC